GATGCCTGATCCAGGTAGAGACCCAACGTCCTTGACACCTCACAGGTAAACTAGCACCCCAGGTAAACACGAGTGCTCAAAGCGTGGTTCAATACTGTCTGCTGACTGTTACATTGCACAATCTACGGCACATATCGATCTCATCGATCGATTATTGATTTCTCTAATTTGTGTCAGACTAATGAAAGATTTGTGGAATAGACTTAATTAATAGTCACGTGGTACGGCAAGAAAACACGTAGGTAAAGGTTTATGGTGTTGTAGTCTAAGGTGAAAATGTGTGGTGTTGTGGTTAAAGGTGTCTAAGATGAGTAAGTGTGTGGATCAATGGTGTATTTGGGTGAGTGTGTGGTTATGTGGTGTTGTGGTTAAAGGTGTTTTAAATGGGTATTTGTGGTTTTTTTGGTTAATGGTGTATTGTGTGAGTCAGTGTGGTGTTGTGGTTAAATGTGTCTTAGATTAGTGTATGTGGTTTTGTGGTTAATGATGTATTGGGTGAGTTTGTGCTGTTGTGGTTAAAAGTGCATAAATAGAGACTAAATAGTGTTGTGATTAATGGTGTCCTGAGTATATGTGGTGTTGTTGTTAGAAGTGTAGTAGGAGAGACCTTTTGTGTTATTGTCAATAGTGTCTTAGTGTGGTGTTGTGGTTTATGGTGTTCTACCGAGTTTATATGGTTATAGTATGTCTTAATGTAGTGTTGTGGTTACAAAAGGTGAGTCTTATGTAAGTCTCTCTAGTGTTGTGGCACTAGTGCCTTGACGTGTGTGTCACATAAATCAGAAGCACCAATTTTTTATATATACATATAAATTTAGACACTGTTACCATTATTGTTTTATTTCTATACTCGCCACTAACTGCCACATAACTCTGACACGACGCCACTACTCTCGCGTGAGATAAATTGACGCCACTATCACACCTACAACTATAGTGTAAGACTGTATCATGATAATGTACTCATAAATCGACATCAACATCGACAAACTGCAACGTGTCTTTGTAATACACCAGAATACACATCAATGTATGAATAATCCTAGACAATCTGTCCATTAATCTGAATATGGTATACCATAAAACCCTCTCCCATGAGCTTTGTTACACACACTCACACACACAAAACCATGCATATAGGCCGTCGTCTAGGCGTCTGTAGTTACCTATAAAGCTATCTATTGTTACGTATAGATACCTCTTGTTACCTATAGTTATCTATAGTGCCTATATTACCTATAGTACCTATTGCTACGGATGGCTACTTATAGTTACTTATTGCTACTTACAGTTACCTATAGTTTCGTATAATTACCTATTGTTACCTATGCTTACAGTTACTTACATATACCTATAATTACCTAAAGTTACCTATTTTAACCTATAATTACTGCCACCTACTATTGTTACCTACTGCTACCTATACTTATCTATAGTTACCTACATTTACATAAAGTTACCGGCATACATTCCAGTTTGAATAAAAATAAGGACATACAAGCGGTAAATAATTCAATAATTATGCCACATCTGCTGCTAAATGGTGATGTTAATGATGCAAAACAATGACAGATATTCATATTATTCCCTCGCTGATCCACTAAGCTTCCGTTTATCTCATAAGCCAACTACTTTAACTCATGTTTTTTTTTTTTGTAAATAGGTTATTTTTTTTTAATTCACATCAATATTAAACAAATTAATAAAAATAGAACATGGTTTGGATTGAAAAGGATGAGTATTTTTAATAAAAAAAATGGATAAACTTCTATTAAGAAACGGCATTTGTTGTTTTCAACTTTTTATGATCTGTTCACATCATCCTTTTATGATCTGTTAATATCAACATTTTTATCACCTGTTTAAATCAACATTTTTATCATCTGTTTATATAATTTTCCTTATGTTTATATCATCATTTTTATCGTCTTGCCTTCTTCACACCCCCATCCCTACTAGCTGTTTTTTTAGACGCAGGAGTCGACATAATTTGCTGACTTCACATCATCATAATTACCGTATATCAACTCATATGTTGCTATTGTTATATGTTGTATGGGGTAAATTGTGTTTTCTGTTCCAGGAAAGTAGTGTAAATTCTTACAGTGAGAAGCTATAGTACAAAAAAAAAATCAACGCCGAAGTCATGAATATTTTAACATCAACTACACGCGCAAGCCATTGTTGTTTCAGCCCCTCCCCTCTCCCCCTCCCCCACCCCACACCCCCACCCCTATCAACAATACGTTTTAGTGAAAGATAAAAATGAAATAATAAAATTTGAAGCTGAAACACCAATCAATACGGCGCAGCTGTTGTTTTGTTGTGTGTTGATGTGTTGATGTGTTGATATGTGGATGATAGCGGTTTTGTTGTGTTGATATGTTGATGATAGCGATTCATTTATGTGTTGATGCTGACGTATTAGTTGTGTGTTGATGTGTTGATACTGTCGAATTAGTTGTATGTTGGTGTATTGTTGTTAGCGGTTTCGTTGTGTGTTGATATGTTAATGTTAGCGGTTTAGTTGTGTGTTGATATGTTAATGTTAGGGGGTTTAGTTGTGTGTTGATATGTTAAAGTTAGCGGTTTAGTTGTGTGTTGATATGTTAATGTTAGGGGGTTTAGTTGTGTGTTGATATGTTAAAGTTAGCGGTTTAGTTGTGTGTTGATATGTTAATGTTAGGGGGTTTAGTTGTGTGTTGATATGTTAATGTTAGCGGTTTAGTTGTGTGTTGATATGTTGATGTTAGGGGGTTTAGTTGTGTGTTGATATGTTAATGTTAGCGGTTTAGTTGTGTGTTGATATGCTAATGTTAGGGGGTTTAGTTGTGTGTTGATATGTTAATGTTAGCGGTTTAGTTGTGTGTTGATATGTTGATGCGAAACGTTCAGTTGTGTGTTGATGTTAGCTGTTTGTTTGTGTGTTGGTGTGTTGATGCCAGCGGTTTAGTTGTGTGTTGATTAGTCAATGATTTCGATTTATTTCTGTGTTGAAATGTTATGTGGCGCTTACATCATTGTTGTATTGTATCGTCATTGTATAGCTTTATGTTTCTCTTTGTTCTGTACCGTGTTCTAGTGTGTATTCCCAAAGAAAAGCATAGCGTTTCTCCACCCACGAATTCTGCAACATTATGATATTATGTAAAGTGTAATGGCATTGTTCCATCTTTGTTTTATCTGACGGTATAGTTGGGTATAGTTGTGTATTAAAATATATCGCACTATACCGTTGTGTTGAGTGTTATAATGTGTAAATTAACTATTATAGTTTAGCATTGCTGTATACTACGACATCATTGATCGCAGTGTTACATTGTTTTGCCATGGTGTGTAGTTGTATGTTGTATGTTGTACAATACGTGTGCTGAATATGTTTGGATGCTGCGTACTCTGTATGAATGAAACAATCGGTTATTAGAGCTTCCTCCATTTCTCCTGCTAAATATGCACACAGAATATCCGAGAGTTATCCGGTAGTTATAAAAACTCTCTTCTCGCTTACACGCGATGAGATAAGAATGGGGAGAAGGGTATGCGTGGGTGGGTATGTGTGGGTATGTGTGTGTGAGGTTAATGACACTGGAGCTTAGTTTTAAAATATTGTAACGGAAAATGTATTGAATACCAAACGTGCAAACTGTTATAATGAATTGTTTGTGTAAGGATAAATAGGGGAAAACAAAGATTGAAAAACCATAGAAACTACACCTCCCTCCTCCCCTACTCTGGCTATCAGATGTACGGTTAAAACAGCTGATGTTATTGAGTGTAGAGGGTCAAAATCCCTCTTCAATCGCATGGCTCAACTTAACCACAACTCCTTCGCCACCTCCTTCCGCAACCACTTTTTCTACCCCCTACCCCAACCTCCAAATGTATTATAAAACAACCCACATTCCATACAAATCAGCCTACTATACCACAACTACAAATTCACCTACCTCTATCGATTCATCCACTCCACCCTCTAATATATTAAAAAACAACATAAAATTTTAACTGTTCCCTCCACAACCCCCCTCACCCCGAAAATGTAAGCAGCTCACAATCTTGAGGTTCAGACTGTCCCCTCCCCCCCCCCCCCCAACCCCCACCGCCAAAATGTAAACAACTCACAATCTTGAGGTTCAGACTCTCCCCCCACCCCCCCCCCCCTCCGCAACCCCTACCCCAAAATGTAAACAACTCACAATCTTGAGGTTCAGACTCCCCCCCCCAACCCCCAACCCCCACCAAAATGTAAACAACTCACAATCTTGAGGTTCAGACTCTCCCCCCACCCCCCCCCCTCCGCAACCCCTACCCCAAAATGTAAACAACTCACAATCTTGAGGTTCAGACTCCCCCCCCCAACCCCCAACCCCCACCAAAATGTAAACAACTCACAATCTTGAGGTTCAGACTGTCCCCTCCCCCAACCCCCACCCCCGAAATGTAAACAACTCACAATCTTGAGGTTCAGACTGTCCCCCTCCCCCAAAATGTAAACAACTCACAATCTTGAGGTTCAGACTGTCCCCCACACCCAAAATGTAAACAACTCACAATCTTGAGGTTCAGACTGTCCCCCACCCTCCCCCAAAATGTAAACAACTCACCATCTTGAGGTTCAGACTGTCCCCCACACCCAAAATGTAAACAACTCACAATCTTGAGGTTCAGACTGTCCCCTCCCCCACCCCTAAAATGTAAACAACTCACAATCTTGAGGTTCAGACTGTCCCCCCTCCCCCACCCCCAAAATGTAAACAACTCACAATCTTGAGGTTCAGACTGTCCCCTCCCCCACCCCCAAAATGTAAACAACTCACAATCTTGAGGTTCAGACTGTCCCCTCCCCCACCCCCAAAATGTAAACAACTCACAATCTTAAGGTTCAGACTGTCCCCCACCACCTCCCCCCTCCCCCCCCCCCCACCCCCACCAAAATGTAAACAACTCACAATCTTGAGGTTCAGACTGTCCCCACCCCCACCAAAATGTAAACAACTCACAATCTTGAGGTTCAGACTGTCCAGCTCCCTCTCGGCGACCTTCCTCCTGTCCGTCTCCTGCTTCCTCCTCGAGTACTCGCTCAGCTTGTCGAACGAAAATCCCGGCTGGTTCTTCCCTACAGCCGGATTGCCGGTTCCTTGACCGGCAGTGACACTGTTCCGTGACCGGTTCTTGTGGAACAGGGCCGAAGGGCCGTGGCTGGACAACCTTGACCCCGCGCTGGTTGAGATGGGTGGAGGCAATGACGTCATCGCTATTGTTGTCACTGTTGACCTAGGACTTTTTTTCCAGAAATAAACCATGGTAGCACCGGGTGCTTAGAAGTCGTGGTGGTGAGGGGTGGTGGGGTGGCTGGTGCGGGTACTCAGGTTGGTGGCGTTAAGTTCAAATCTCAAGCCGGGCACCTGGGCCGGCCTTTCTTTCATTCTTCCCCGGATACCTACACAAGGAAATAAAAACTAATTAACTAAAAGGTACCTGCTCAAAATATAAGCACTAATTAATTAAAAAGTACCTGCTCAAATTATAAGCACTAATTAATTAAAAGGTACCTGCTCAAAATATAAGCACTAATTAATTAAAATGTACATACGCAATGATATAATAACTAATTAGAAAGTGCTTGGTCAATAATATACAAACTAATGAAAGGTATTTAATCCATGATATACAAACTAATTAGAAGATACTTGGTCTATTATATACAAACTAATTAGAAGATATTTGATATACAAATCTATATATATCTATGATATACAAACAAATAAAAAACATACTTGGTCCATGATATACAAACTAATTAGAAGATACTTGGTCTATGAAATACAAACTAATGAAAACATACTTGGTCCATGATATGTAAACTAATTAGAAGGTACTTGGTCAAAAAATGTAAAAGTAATTAATAGTAGGCAGGTGAATGATATAAAAACTAATTAGAAACCAGAATCATTTTAGTACAACAATGTGCAATGTCTTTTATCTACTTTTTAATAACAAGTGATTTACTTTATGTACTCTGGTAGCTCATTAGAGAATGGTGACCTAATTAAGTATAACAAATCGTAGACAGCTTAATTAAGAGCTGACTATAATGAAATATATATAATGGCAGATATTCTTGCTTCACTGTGATTCTAAGAATCAATGAGACACGTGACAAAAAATAATTGGAGTCGGTATCATTTTTTGTGTGTATATTTTAGCCTTTTTTCCTGTTTTTTTTTTACCTAAACCCTTTTTTCTTATCAATTCTTAACTGTAATAGTCCAGGGGACATCCGTCAGTATTAAGTATTAAGTTTCTACATATGTGCCAAATGACCTGTTGATTCCAATTTCAGTCAACTTTTCTTTCTTGTTTTGTTTCCTTTGTCCACTCAAGAAAAATCTGACAAGACAGCAGTTGAGTTTGTCTCCACTAGAAAGGCGACGTCCCCAGTTAATGAGCCCCATCTGATTATGGGTCGGAACTTGAGATTTCTGAGTTAGCCCAACCAGATTTTTAGTCAATTTGACATTTTGGGGTAAAATTGATAGGATTAGTATTTAGTTTTAGCCAATAGTTGACATTTTGTTGGCTAATAGATCGGATATTCCACCTAACTCTCCGGGAAGGGGAGGTGGTTAGGTAGGCCTACTCTATAAAATACTCTACTGATATCAGATAACCAAGAAATTAGATTTATCTATTAACATCAAAATGTTTACGTTTAAGTTTTATATAATTTATTACAAGCTTTAATTTAACTCACTTCCTCGTCAGTCTGTCGTCAGTCGTCAGTCTGTCTAGATCGAAACGCCCGAGCGAAATAGAAAGCGCTTCTAACTGACAGATACGGTTCGTAATTGGTACGTGGGTCAAAACATGAAGAAATTGCAACATAACATTAAATTTATCTTAATTGGTTGCCTGATTAATTTTTTATGAATTAATTAAAATTGTGTCCAAATTAGTAGGCTGTCTCATCAAACTATTCCGCACTATAAGACACGCTTCATCACGTTCAACAGGTGCGCAATGGTTTTTAGTCATGCAAATCTAGTGTAAATAAAACATATAAAGTACTAAAAAAGTTTCATAAAAAACGTTTTAATAACAAGATTTTATTTAATAATGCACTAAAAAGTAGAAAATAAATTATACACTACTATTTAAATATCTATAAAGAAAAGCGTGAGTCTCTTCCTAAATATTAGTAAAGGTATCCAATAGATACTAAAGTGACCCACACTTTTCTATGGTTATTTAAATAGTAGTCTATAATTTATTTTCTACTTTTTAGTGCATTATTACATAAAAGCTTTTTTATGAAACTTTAAAAATTAGAATTTGACAATCACCTTAATGAAGTTGGTGGGCGTGGGGTGATGAAGGATGTTGCAAAAAATGAAGAATTTAGCAGGACAATGATGCCTAAACCGGCGCTAAAGAACACGGCACGTAAAACAATACGCCCAAATCCGCAGATCATTTATTTTATGACATTTCATAGTTAGCATGACATTTCTATTTTTGACATTTCTATTACCAACGCATAGTCACTGTGACATCTTCTAAATAAAGGTTTTGACAAGTACGAAGCCAGTCTCACATTGAATATCTCGCTGGTATCAAACTGGAATTGTTTCAAATATCAATGGTGAATCCGGCCTTCGCTGCTAATTTTCCATGATTGATTTTTTTTTTAGTTTGTGAATATTTCGAGGTTTAGAAAACTAGCGGACTGGATCGTATAGTAAGCCACGGCATTTCGGAAACAAAAACAAAAAACCACTGGCATAGAAGGCTTTCTTATATTCATGACACGACTTTTTTGTGAATAGTTTCTTAACAACTCACCATTTATGTAAGCTATCGATATATGATCTATACAAATCAATAGTTGCAAAATCGATTTTTCTTAGGAAAATTCCAGAAAAAAAAATTTGAAAAGAATTTCCCAAGAACTGAAGATGGCAAGGTTGAATTTTAAAGTGATAAATCACAGAATCGATGTTGTGAAGGTAATGTTGTATTAAATACCGATGTGATGGAGTGAATGGAATGCTGTATTGAATACAGAATGACGTGAATTGAGACCAGTCTAATAATTCAACATTTAGGTGTAATTGATGGTCTGGAAATTTCAAATATCTCATCGTCCTAGATTCTGTAAGGAGTACACAGATTTTTTTTTAATGGTGATCTATAAATAGCCAGGCATAGGTTGGGGTGACAGTGAGTTGGAAGGGGGGAGAACCGGGGGGGAGGGGAGGTAATCAGTAAGGGGAGAGAAATCTGGGATGGTAGATAATTCAGATGGTAGGGGAGAGAAGCAAGGGAGAGAATATCACCGAGGGGGAGGGGAGTAAATCAAAGGAGGGAACACCACCGAGGGGAGAGAATCCGAGATGGTAGATAATTCAGAGGTTAGAGGAGATAATCAAGGGAGGGAACACCACCATGGGGAGGGGAGAGAATCAGGATGCACGCCAGCAGGGGTAGGGGAGAGAATCAGAATGGACACCAGCAGGGGTAGGGGAGAGAATTAGCTGTAGGGGAGACCACCATGCCTGGAGACGAAGATGACATGTCGTGAGCGTGGGGTGAATTACTCACTGCGGCATCATATCAAGTGCCTGTAGTGATGTGCGCGTTCAGTGTGAGCCTCTGGAACATATCCCCAATAATATTTGGACGCCATCGATTGGACCGTTCAAAAACAAGTGGGCGCCACCTAGGGAGCCGTATAAAGAGCCGGCATACGGTCGTCCAAATTTCCATTACAGCCGGTATTTTTTTTGCTTCGGTTTTAGACATTCAATTATTAAGATGTATGTATGATAAAATATGTATTGGTAATATATGAAGACATTATGATATTCGAAGTATGGGTGTTGTTATGTTTGTGGGATATATGAAGGGTTTGGATGATACAAGGTATGTGGGGTATGTACGTTGTCTGAATGATACACGCTGTATATGTCAAACAAGATGTAAGCATATTACATGTATAATAAAAGCTGTTTAGATAATAAAAGTAGTATGAATAAAAAGTTAAATGAATAATGAAAGCGGAATGGATAAAAAAAAGAGTATCGATAATTAAAGGTGGATGGATAATAGAAGGTGTATGGATAGTAAAAGATGTTTGAAAAATAAATGGACAGTAAAATGTGTATGAATAATGAAATTGATAGTTTTATTTATATGTATAATAATAATGTATAACAATGTGTGTGGATAATTAAATGTGTATAGATAAGTTAAGGGATATGGCATATAAAAGTTGTATAAAGGCTTCACAAATTGTTAAAGATATATAAATTCTCGTCTAATGCAAGATTCTTAACTTGTTATGAGAATGCTGCCGAACAGAAATGAAAATAGACAAGGAAGTTCAGAGTCTATTTTTAGATAGCGGAAACTGCGCCTTAGCCGAGGAGAATTAACAAATCCAGCGCGATGGCTGGTAATGGGAAAAGTTTCTTTAAACAAACAAGATTAGATTCATCTTTTGTACAGGTCCCATGGAAGTCTGAATTGTAACAGCTTCAGTGGATGTCTGAATGTAACAGCTTCAGTGGATGTCTGAATGTAACAGCTTCAGTGGATGTCTGAATGTAACAGCTTCAGTGGATGTCTGTCTGAATGTAACAGCTTCAGTGGATGTCTGAATGTAACAGCTTCAGTGGATGTCTGGATGTAACAGCTTCAGTGGATGTCTGTCTGAATATAACAGCTTCAGTGGATGTCTGAATGTAACAGCTTCAGTGGATGTCTGGATGTAACAGCTTCAGTGGATGTCTGAATGTAACAGCTTCAGTGGATGTCTGTCTAAATGTAACAGCTTCAGTGGATGTATGGATGTAACAGCTTCAGTGGAAGTCTAAATGTAACAGCTTCAGTGGATGTCTGAATGTAACAGCTTCAGTGGATGTCTGAATGTAACAGCTTCAGTGGATGTCTGGATGTAACAGCTTCAGTGGATGTCTAACAGCTTCAGTGGATGTATGGATGTAACAGCTTTAACAAAATGCTACTGGTATTAGAAACAACGGAGTACTTATAGTACCGCTTCACTAGCGTTAGGGTGTGCCTGAATAAAACTAACAGATATATAAGGTCATAGGATTAAAGCTAAATATAATGTCCTAAACTGAAACATTAGATCACGATCTAACGAGGGACGATCTACACGCTGATAACTATTTCAATTTATCTGATGTTGACAACAAGAATCAAACAAACGCCGTCTTAATGCATAGTGGGAAGCAGAGTTTGTAAACACAATGTCTAACAAACACATGGTAGATGGATATTGTTAAAAATACTGGTGATAACTTGGTCTAATACAAACCATATACATATATAGCTGAAAAGCCGAACAAAAACCTTTCAATATGTTGAGAGTTGGATGAACTCAACCATTCCTAAGAAAAAAAGTCTAGATCTAGA